GATGCTAAGAACGTGTTTAAACATCCATAGACAAAAATTGTCACATTGACAACTAGAAAAATTAATGACCCAATGTCACCAACTTGAACTGGTTCCATAAAATGTTACTAAAATCTCATTACAGCATCGGATGCTGTAAGGACTCTCATTACAGCACCCGTTTGAGTACTGTTATAGCTTCCATTACCGTAGCGAATTACAAAAAAATCCTTTATCTAACCCCGCTAGGAAATGTCAGGTTTTACATGTCTTTTTGACGTTTTGTAAAGTCACATTTTTCACAACTGTGAAAATTGTGAAAATTTACAAACTTGTATAGAAGAAGCAAAGGTAATATTATCAGAAGACTCCATTAACCTCACTAGATATAGATATGATTGAAGACTTTCCAATTAGTGATTTTCTTCATTTAATTAATTTAGGCATAATGAAGAAGTGTTTATTGGGTAGGAGAGATGGTAGTTTTGACAACTATAGAAGTAAATGGTCTGCAAGGGAAATTAGTTGTTTCAAATTTTCTGCTGAACTGTAAAATGCCTTCTGAAGTTCATAGAGCTGTTCGTGGTTTAGACATTTTATGTTATTGGACGGATACAGAGTATCACTCATTTTTGCATTATCTTGGAATAGTGATACTAAAAGACGTATTATCTTTAGATATATACGAACATTTTTTGAAATTATTTTGTGCTATAACTATTTACCTCTGTTCGGTTACGACGAAGAGAGTTGGTTCCAGCATTTTTGATCGACCACCGTCCTTCAAAGCGCGTCGAATACTTCTTATAGTTGTTTTTTTTTGTTGTAAATAAAATTTTGTTGTTGAGACAATTGGTTTTTCTAACTTTGTCTTGCTACTATCAAAGCATTAGCCCCGCATTTATGAACATAATTCTTAGCAAACGTTATTTTATCATTAAGTGTTATCGAATTATCCATCAATCTTTCCTTACTTTCTTCCTTAATCTGAATCTTCTTTACCAGTTCTTCTATATTCCATTCCTTATTTCCTTCATTAATAATTACATTTTCTTTATAATTTTTATTAAAGTTTTCATCATTTATACTTAAAAACAACAGTGTATAAACTCTTTATAATTCTAGATGAAACTTACCTGGAATCTTATTTAAAAGAAAATACTGGCTCCGTGATGATAGAAATATCTGCCCAGGACAAAAGCGACAATAACGACAAAGAGGTCCGAGATGGTATGATGAGAAGTAATGAAAAATTTGTTTGGAATAGCACCACCACGAAATTATTAGTTGATGAGTATAGTAAAAGACACCATCTTTTCCAAGATCCAAAGACAAAAAAAATTTTGTTATGGAGAGAAATAAGAGAAGCGTTTAATAAGCACGATCACACTGTCACGCCATATGCCTTAGATGCGAAATTTAGAAATTTGAAACATCACTATAAAACGATACTACACAATAATAAAAATAAGATTGGTCGTCGACGAATTACTTGGGATTATTTTGAAACGTTCCAAAAAATTTTTCAAAAAGGGCGGACGTTAAACACAACTACAGTAACATCATCATTTGAATCACCATTACCTTTACCCTCAAAACTTTCATCACCTTCACCGCCCCATGATCCCATCCCCGATCAACCTATTTTAATTGAATCAAAACCCGTTTCCATAAATACAAACCAAACTGATGCAATACCACCAACTCCCTCCACCTCCCAAACATCCACTTGTTTTGAATTTGTCTCCGTCAGTCCGACTTCTAAGGTTTTAACACCGTTATCGGTTGATACAAATATTTCTCCCGATTGTCCTGTAACAGAATTTTCGCCAATCATTGCAGAACACAATTATGTATCAACTTCTAGTACAACTAGTAATGATGCACAGAACGAAAAAATTGAGAGTAAAAGACGTAGATCAGAACTAAAAGCTCGTTATAGTTTTCGCCTAAAATTACTTGAAGTGGAAGAGAAAAAAGTTATTGCCTTGGAACAGTTAACGGAAGTGCTGAAACGCCATAATGACATTCAACAAGAAAGAAATGACTTAATGAGAAGATCAAGACAAGTTGTTTTCAATTAAATTGTAAATAGGTACAGGATTAATAAATAAATTTAAGGTAAATTAGATATGTCTATTTTATCCTGCATGTCTTCTTCATTCCCATGAGTCTCAATAATTTCAATATTTTCATCATCAATATTGTAATCATCTATAATTGTGTGAAACTACTGTACTTTAGAAATGAGATGAACAGCAAAAAATTATAACTGCCACACAGCTACATCAATTAGCAAAGTTGTTGATAGTGGGCAATACAGATTCAAAGTGCCATAAAAAATTTCTTAATTTCCATAAACATGTGTTAATTTAAAGCTAATTTACTTAGTATTTAATATTTTGAAGATCATTTCTTGGAATTTTCAAATTTCGCAGTTATGATATGTTGAACGCAACTTTGCATAATCATAAACATAAATGTTAAGGTACGCCTCCATTTGTCTCGATTTTGAGCTAAATTGACCTGCTTCTGCACTTGCAGGGCGCTGAAATTGTCCATCCATGGCCCTTAAGGCGTTCCTCTTGGTTGACGGTCTTCTGGTGTTTGAGTGAGTATCCTGCGCGCCATTCTCTGGGCTTTAATTCACGTTGATAGTTCTGCAGTTCTCTTATCTTATAGTTCAATAATTGTATCTATCCTCTCAGATTTCTACCATACTTTAGCCCATATATCGTTTGTAAGATCATTCTTTCAAACCTGTTTAACAACTCTTGGTGAAGATTACTGAGTATCCATGTGTCAGATCCATAGCTTACTACAGTACGTATGAGCGCCTTGTACAGCGTTTTTTACAGCCTCTTGTTCAAAGTTTGGACCGTAGTAGTTTGCCCAGCGCAAAAGCTGCTCTATTCCTTGCTAATATTCGGGCCTTTAGTTCACTATTGATGTTATTACTTTGATTTATGATAGAGCCTAGATATTCAAACTCATTCATAATATCAAGGTTGGTACCTCCAATCTGGATATTTACTGCTGTCTGTTGAGGTAAGCTATGTCCTGTTACCATATATTTGGTTGTTCCTTTCACTTATTTGCAGACGAAGGTGTTTTCCACCATCGTTCAATTGTTCAAGGTTGACAACTCTTTTCATTAACATTATTCCTCGTTCTGTTCTGTAACATTTTATTTTATTTTTACATTACTTTCTGCTTGCATTCTTTGCCTATAGTCTTGTGAATATATTGTAAGATAACATTTTTTATATCGTTCCACATTGCTTCCACCAGTTCCCTATGTACTGGTATCTTCCTCAAGTTCCTCGTCCAGCCATTCACTTATGGCATTCTCATATTGTCTTCTATCTTCCTCAATTTTCAATCTTTCCATGTTCCATTTCTTTTTTTTTCTCTCCATTGTCTTTGTGTTCTTGATATTCGCTTCCTCTCTCTTTGGCTCTGACTAAGAAGTAGTCTGCGCCTCTTAAGCTTTTCACGTGTAGTAAACTTGTTGCGTATCTTCTATCGATAAGAACGTGGAAAAAGGTTCATACGAAATCTACAGAGGAACATTGAGAGAAATGACCATTTCATCATTAAGTTGGGTCACATTCTCCAAATTCCGATTATCCAAATTGTATTGAAACCACGTACGGAATACAAACAAGACAAAATTTTCAATTCAGAAAATTCTGTTTATTCTAATAATACGTTCAACATTTTGCTGACTGTATCGTACCACAGTATCGTTCCTTTTCAAGCACCTCGCATTCCGCTCCGTCACACCTGAAACATAAGGGAGTCAGATAAAACCGGCTGGTGTAGTGGATATCCCTTAAAGTCTTCTTCTTTCTTTAAATCCTTTTTATGTTTTCCGATACACTCTCAATTTCAAGACCCCATCTAACTTCCTAGTGACCAATACATCCAGGAAACGTAACTGTTTTGAAGCTTCCGTTTGTATGGTAAATTTGATCATACATAGAGTGTTGTGAGTTTAGGTGAGCTAGGAATCCTTCGATTTGCTCTTTTCCGTGTTGCCAGATCACGAAGGTGTCATCAACGTAACGGAGCCATAGCTTTGGTTTCCACGGACTCTTCCTTAACGCTTCTTCATCAAACATTCAGTTGTAAAATTTGGCGATTATAGGTGACAAAAATGATCCTATGGCCGCCCCTTCTCATTGCTCATGGAATTCTCTTTTACAACTAAAATAAATGGATGATAGGCAGTACTCCACTAGCCCTGAAACATACATCGGAAGCCCTCTGGGATGAGTTTCTGGCGAAGACCATCCCCGGTGTCTTTGACTGCTACTCTGGTAAACTCCACGGTATAACTTAATACTTCTGATTGATTCCACAAAATGGATAGAATCTCTTGTATATGATTCTGTTTTACCTGTATAAGGAGACAGAATCTTGGCAATGTGTTTCGCCACCTAATACGTTGGAGACTTTTTCACTGACAATAGGGCGTACCTACTGGGACATCCGATATATGGATTAATCCATATATTCTTGGCGGTACTGAGGTTTGTACGAATAAACGTTGACCTGCCGGAATATCTGAATATTTCACCAATTCTTTCATTTTACTTATTATCTTCTCGGTTGAGTCCTTCTTACTTTTCTTATAGGTGGATGGATCCAAAAGGTTAGATAATTGCTCAGCTCAGAACAGAAACTGGGCACTTTTTGCTATTTTTTTACTTTTTTTGGAATTTCAATGACCTAAATTTAATAAATTTAGTAATAACATATTTCGAACCTGGTCATACCTTCATGTCTACAGACATCATCTCATTCCACCACCTCGTGAAAATGTCATTAAAATGAAAAAGTAAAGTACAGACTTTATGCATATAAGTATAACTTCATTTTATCAAATATGTATACAAAATTTGAATATTTTGATGTTATCGTTAAATTCCTCATGCTCTGTTTAGATTTATAGCTCTTCCTCAGCCTGTATTTTAATTTATGTCTGTATTTTGCTGTTCTTATCCATTCTTTCCCCGCCACACCCTTCACATCATCGATCCACCTCTTTTGCGGTCTTCTGCACCTTTCTAGTTTCTCGTGGTCTCCTAAAGGTTATTCTTTGTGTCCATTTTTCTGTGTTTTCTCTTTCTACATGTCGGATCAATTGTCACTTAAGCCTCGCTACTTGCGTTCTCCTGCGAATGCCACTATTTCGAATCTTATCTCTCAGAATGACTCCCAGCATTGCTCGTTCTATCGCTCTTTGGGTTAGATAAGTTGTTCTGCAGTTTTCCTTGCAAATGCCATGGGTTCAAGTCCGTATGTAGTCATTGGCAGTATGCAAATACTTTTACTTTTAGGCTTCTCGGTATTTCTTTGTTTTTCTGTATAAAACTGAGTTTTCCAAATGAGCTCATGGTAGTTGAATCGGTCGCTTTTTTTTCGGCTCTTTGATTTTCTTTGCCAAGTTTAATAGTGTGACCAAGATATATGTACGGTTACATACTCTAGGGTGGTGTATTTATATGAATACTAAACTTCGATTTCCTAAAACTACAAATGTCGCAAATACGACCCCTCAAATGTGTCCTAACATAAAATAGGAATCGACTTGTTTTGGTCCAAGAAGATATTAAGATTCATTTAGACGTTACATGTAACGTGTATTAGGTATGTATAAAAATTCTTACGTGTCAATTGTTGATTAATGGTTTATTGTGTTTAGATAACATCCGGAATAAACCGCATAATTTTACTTAACATGACCTTTGTTTAACATCAAATTCCGAAACATACACAGACCTACTCAAATCAGTATCAATTTGAAGAAAGTCAAAATATAATTTGGATTCCCACATCCTTTAATACGGATCCGGTGAACGTGTTTTGTTAAACTTTTAATTAAATAAAAAATAATTATGACATGGAAAATTTTAAAAATTACAAACGTGTCCTTGATAATCATTTCGTTCTGTGAGAGATGTTAAACCTCTCAATCACTGTGTATATTAATAATATAAAATAAAACACAAATAATTCATAACGCAATTTTAAGAAACCATGAGTATCTAATTTTATTATCAATATTTGATCCTTTTTACAGTTCAAATTAGCTCAAATAAGTAAAGAATTAATACTGTGCACTTTTAGCTGAATAACTAACTCTTCCTGTTCCATCAGCTGCTGCTGATGTCGCACTAAATGCACCATTTGGTCCTTGAGCACCTCTAGAAACATGGATACTGGTACCTTCACCTTCGCCAAAACGAGAAAATATTTGCGCCCTAAAAAGTTATGATAATAAAAGAAAATGTGAGCATATAACAAAAAAAAATAACATACCCTGGTGGAATATTTGGTGGTTCAATATCAAAGTGAAGGTTGCTAAAGTCGCCTCTAGCAAGTTTTGGTATAATTGCTAAATTGTTTAAAAAAAAGAATAGATACCAATTTTATTTTAAAAATAAATGATTTTTGATTAACCTGCATCAAATGGAATTCCTCCACCAGACCCGGAAGCGGTTGCTCCACTAAAAGCTACGGCATCACTTCTTTTAGATCTTATATACACTAAAGGAACACCATCTTCAGTTTCCAAAAACTCATAAATTGGTACACCATCCACAAAATCTACAAATAATGTTTATGATCTTCATTTTATTGGTTATCGATATACTTACAACACAAACCGGTTAGAAACACGGCCAAAAACACGACAGACCCATTCATTTCAAATTCACAAATAAATCTTTCGGTCGAAACATTCAATCTATTGTATTTATGTACCATTAAAAAAATTCCCCACTTCCTCGAATTAATATAAAAAACAAATAATCATCACTGAGAGGTATTACGTCTTCAATAAATCGAGCCGGAGGCGCAGCGTTGCGGTTCCGATCGTTTAAGTTTTACTCGTAAATTGTTCAAATTATGCTAATTATCGATCTTATGTAATCACAATATCACGTTTTGGTCGACTCTTTGAGTTTATTTTCCCGAATTATCCCATCCTGGTGTTTGTATCTTTGCTTCGATCTTATTAGTAGTGATTAAATACAATGATGAATCATTTCATTTTGTGCTATTAAAGAGGTGTATGTATTTATTAAGTTAATGTGGTTCTACTTTTAATAACATATTCTTAGAAATGAGTGAATGTTCTGAAGGAAATTTATTAAAAAAAATATAAGAATAGAAGGACAAACCAATCATTTATTGAATTTTTTTCAACTCTTTAATAATAGTTGAAGGGAATTTTCTTAGTGTAAAATATTTGGTTTTATGATAAAGAACGTTTTAAATTTAAAAATGTGTATGTGATTTTAAAAATTTGTATCTTACGATTTAAATAAATACTGTGATATTGTTTCAAAAGCTAGTAAAATGTTCTTAAGGTGATCAATATGGATATAAAAAAACTTTTTTGGGGTTAAAAATTGGTTTGGACACAAGAAAATTTCAGGAATCACAATAAAAACGGTTTAGGGCCATAAGTACAGGGGATGACAAATGAGATCTTTTGGGAAGATAGAAATGACGTTTTCCGTGTGCGTTTACAGGGTTTCTTTATTCAAAACTACCGTATTTAAGCAAAGCAATTATGTCGCACTCAATATTCAATACATCTTAAAGAGAATTAGTTTTAGTAACTATATTATACCAACGTATTTTGTTATATAGCATTTTTCTGCGTTTTTTCTACCTGAGTCAGGATCTTTGGAATAACATCAAGGAAAAACCTATTTTTAGAGCTACGTTGTATATTTTTGGGAAGACTACTTTGTTACCAACTAAAAAAACTGCTAGCCTTGAAAAAAATTTTTCATCAACGTAATCGAACTCATACTCATATTCCAAGAATCGGATTTTATACGAATTTTTAAAACTTAATCGGCGAAAATTGCAAAATTCGAAAAAATTGTCGATTATTTCAAAAATTCATTTCTCAAGAACTAAAAGTGATTTTTCAAAACGGCTTTTTGCATTAAAAAGAAGTTACTATAATTAATAATTGGTGATATTTCCACAAGGATCCTTCAAGAAATGAATTTTATAGCCAATTTTTAAAGTTATCGATGAAAATTGCAACATTGAAAATTTTATCAAAACTTCAAATATTGTTTTCTCAAAAACTAAAAGTTATTTTTTAAAACGGGTTGGTTTATTAGAAAGAGGACACTTTTATTAACACTTTGGGAAATTTTCATACTTATATTCCAAGAAATGGATTTTATACGAATTTTTAAAACTTAATCGGCGTAAATGATCGACCATTTTTTCGAATTTTGCAATTTTCGCCGATTAAGTTTTATGTGATAGAAAAAATGTACCAGATGGTCTGAAAGAGACCGTTTTGTGACAATAATAATTTTAATTTGTTCACCGCTTTATATTTTCGATGTTAATTTCTTGTAAAATACATTGACTTTTGTCTCTGATGATGGCTTTTGCCGAAACTAGTTAGACAACAAAAATATAAATAAACCAGTAAAAGTACAACAAAATTCGAAAAAAATTTTGTATCACGTTAAACAAACTGGTATAATGGATATTAACTTCAATTTCAACCTGATTAAGTTTTAAAAATTCGTATCAAATCCATTTCTTGGAATATGAGTATGAAAATTTCCCAAAGTGTTAATAAAAGTGCCGCTTTCCAATGAACCAACCCGTTCTGAAAAATAACTTTTAGTTTTTGAGAAAACAATATTTGAAGTTTTGATAAAATTATCGATTTGAAAAAATTGTCGATCATTTCAAAAATTTATTTCTCAAGAACTAAACGTGATTTTTCAAAACGGTTTTCTGTATTAAAAAGAGGATACTTTAATTAATAATTGGTGATATTTCCACAAGGATCCTTCAAGAAATGAATTTTAAACGAATTTTGAATGTTATCAATGAAAATTGCAACATCGATAATTTTATCAAAACTTCAAATATTGTTTTCTCAAAAACTAAAAGTTATTCTTCAAAACGGGTTGGTTCATTGAAAATATGACACTTTTATTAACACTTTGGGAAATTTTCATACTCATATTCCAAGAAATGGATTTTATACGAATTTTTAAAACTTAATCGGCGAAAATTGCAAAATTCGAAAAAATTGTCGATTATTTCAAAAATTTATTTCTCAAGAACTAAAAGTGATTTTTCAAAACGGCTTTTTGCATTAAAAAGAGGATACTATAATTAATAATCGGTGATATTTCCAGAAGAATTCTTCAATAAATGAATTTTATAGCGAACTTTTAAAGTTATCGATGAAAATTGCAACATTGAAAATTTTATCAAAACTTCAAATATTGTTTTCTCAAAAACGAAAAGGTATTTTTCAAAATGGGTTGGTTCATTGGAAAGAAAACACTTTTATTAGCACTTTGGGAAATTTTCATACCCATATTCCAAGAACTGGATTTTATACGAATTTTTAAAACTTAATCGGCGAAAATTGTAAAATTTGAAAAAATTGTCGATTATTTAAAAAATTTATTTCTTAAGAACTGAAAGTGATTTTTCAAAACGGCTTTTTGCATTAAAAAGAGGATACTTTAATTAATAATCGAAAGTGATAACAGCAACAGTTCTGTTAGTAATGAATGTGATGATGAAATACAAGCGAAGAGAAGAAAACTAGACGAAACTGCAACAAGAGATTTTACATATCGTATTGGGATTGTTACAATGGGGTTGGGTTGGGTTGGATATCCGTTCCACCACTAGTTTTCAACCTCAAGGTATAATATTAAGGGATTAAATCTCAACCAATCAGCACACCCAAAAAAATAGAATTCCATTTAACATGATGGGCGTTATACTAAAAGGGTGTAGATTCAATTTAAAAATAGGATTATTTCAACAATTAAATAATATAATTCTGAACGCTCAAAATAGAATGTATCAAAAAGCAATAAAAATTTATAACTTCTTTAATAAAATTGGTTTGGAATCATGAAATTTTCATGAATTACCCAATAAACAATAAAAAGACTAGATTCCCATAAACAAACTATACTTATACACTGTACACGGGGCCAAAAAAGTTTCAAAACAAAACCTTCCGTCTCTAATTCACCTAATATCATATTGACAACAAACAAAAAATTCAATTAGGTATTGTAATACACAAATAAACAGAGACCATCTCAAATATAATATTTTATAGTATCACTTGAAAACATAAAAATTGTGTGCTACTCTAAACTCTAAAACATTATGGCGGGAGCATTCTCGTGGTTGCATGAATTCTGCAGAGGTTGGAACCTTAGTATATATAAATCTTTTATTCATATAAAAGATTTATCTTTTATCTTNAACGGCTTTTTGCATTAAAAAGAGGATACTATAATTAATAATCGGTGATCTTTCCAGAAGAATTCTTCAATAAATGAATTTTATAGCGAACTTTTAAAGTTATCGATGAAAATTGCAACATTGAAAATTTTATCAAAACTTCAAATATTGTTTTCTCAAAAACTAAAAGGTATTTTTCAAAATGGGTTGGTTCATTGGAAAGAAAACACTTTTATTAACACTTTGGGAAATTTTCATACCCATATTCCAAGAACTGGATTTTATACGAATTGTTAAAAGTTAATCGGCGAATATTGTAAAATTTGAAAAAATTGTCTATTATTTCAAAAATTTATTTCTCAAGAACTGAAAGTGATTTTTCAAAACGGCTTTTTGCATTAAAAAGGGGATACTTTAATTAATAATTAGTGATATTTCCACAAGGATCCTTCAAGAAATGAATTTTATAACGAATTTTGAAAGTTATCAATGAAAATTGCAACATCGATAATTTTATCAAAACTTCAAATATTGTTTTCTCAAAAACTAAAAGTTATTCTTCAAAACGGGTTGGTTCATTGAAAAGATGACACTTTTATTAACACTTTGGGAAATTTTCATACTCATATTCCAAGAAATGGATTTTATACGAATTTTTAAAATTTAATCGGTGAACATTGTAAAATTCGAAAAAATGTCGATTACTTCAAAAATTCTTTTCTCAAGAACTAAAAGTGATTTTTCAAAACGGCTTGTTGCATTAAAAAGAGGATACTATAATTAATAATCGGTGATATTTCCAGAAGAATTCTTCAATAAATGAATATTATAGCGAACTTTTAAAGTTATCGATGAAAATTGCAACATTGAAAATTTTATCAAAACTTCAAATATTGTTTTCTTAAAAACTAAAAGGTATTTTTCAAAATGGGTTGGTTCATTGGAAAGAAAACACTTTTATTAACACTTTGCGAAATTTTCATACCCATATTCCAAGAACTGGATTTTATACGAATTTTTAAAAGTTAATCGGCGAACATTGTAAAATTTGAAAAAATTGTCTATTATTTCAAAAATTTATTTCTCAAGAACTGAAAGTGATTTTTCAAAACGGCTTTTTCCATTAAAAAGGGGATACTTTCATTAATAATTGGTGATATTTCCACAAGGATGCTCTAAGAAATGAATTTTATAACGAATTTTGAAAGTTATCGATGAAAATTGCAACATCGAAAATTTTATCAAAACTTCAAATATTGTTTTCTCAAAAACTAAAAGGTATTTTTCAAAATGGGTTGNAAACTCTAAAACATTATGGCGGGAGCATTCTCGTGGTTGCATGAATTCTGCAGAGGTTGGAACCTTAGTATATATAAATCTTTTATTCATATAAAAGATTTATCTTTTATCTTCCAACAAGATTTATTTATTTATTTGAACAAGAGAACAACAACGAGACGAACCCAATAAAGTTGTTCCACAACATACATTTATGAAGTACAACTAAAAAAAAATTCCAAAGTTTAAGACACTGCCAATATAAGCAGTATACATGCTTATAATTGCACTTGAGTTTGTGAAATGCTCGGTAGATCGTTTTATAAAGCCTAACATTCTGTAACATTTTATTACCACTCCGTCAACATGTCTGTCAAATATCAGCTTCTGGTCGAGTGTTACACCAAGATCGACGGTGTGCGTCACTCGACGCAGGCCTTCCGTACCAATACAATAGTTATATTTGAAGTAATCACGTTTTTTAGTAAATGAAATAGTATGGCATTTGGCAATATTTAGAATAAAGTGATTTCTAACACAGAACTGGTCAAGCCTGTGAAGGTCAGCCTGCAACTTCACACAATCATCTGTGGTCCGAACCGGCAAGAAAATTTTTAAATCATCAGCATACATTAAACAGCGTCAATTGGTTATACAAGAGAATATATCATTAACATATATTAAAAATAGTAGTGGTCCCAGGTGACTGCCCTGAGGCACGCCAGAAGTTACTATAGATGGAAGCGAAGAGTAGCCGCCCATGCGTACTACTTGGGTGCGTTTAGATACGTAGGAATAAAACCAACGCAGCAAGCCACCCGTCACGCCAAAACATCGTAGTTTATTTAACAGTATAGTGTGGTCCACCTTATCAAATGCCTTGCTAAAATCAGTGTACACCGCATCCACCTGTACGTTGTTATCAAGTGCTGAGATCAGAAAATCTGTGTATTCCAATAAGTTGGTTTCAAAAGATCTGAAACGAGATTGATTCTATTTGAAGATTCTGTTTGACTTAAACAAATACGCTGGTGTACACTAATTTCTCAAAAACCTTGCAAATAATAGGCAATAATGATATCGGTCGGTAATTAGTAACTAAATTCCTAGCACCATTTTTGAAAATTGGGACTACGTTGGCCTGCTTCCACGCGACTGGCAAAATCCCCTGTTGCAAAGATTTATTATAAATTAACTGTAGGGGTATTGCCATAGCCTCAGAGCAGTTCCTAATCAAGATTGGTGGTAGATTATCCGCTCCCGGCCCTTTATTCAACGCTATCCCATGTAATGCTTTGTGTACTTCAGCAATAGTAAAGGACCCAACAGACACATTAAACAAACCTATCACGCCCCCCTCGTCAAGCACGATGGCAGACGGTGGTGTGAAATTGTTGAAAAATACTCAGTAAATAGCGAACAAATGCTTTCCCCATCAGAAGCTACAGTACCATCATACTCGACGCTAGCAGGGATACTTGTGCCGCCTCTCCTGCGTCTCAGATAAGACCAAAATTGTTTCGGGTCTGCGACAATATTATCCTGAACGCGTTCCATGTATGTTATGTGATCGCGATCGATCAGAAACTTTGAGCGACCACGCAAAAGCGAAAAAGTAACGTAATCCAAGTGATTCCCATAGAGATTCCACCGTTTATGCATCTTACGTTTTTCATTTAACACCCGAATCGTATCCCTTGTAAACCAGGGCGGGTAACCTTTCACATACCGGGACTTTTGTGGAACATGTTTTTTTATTTCCAGAAACAAATGTTTATAAAAAAGTCCATTCAAGATGAAGGATTAATGTTTAGTATAGTACATAGTGCACCTGTCGGAAGAAATTGGAAGGTGAGTTTGCAAATACGACATTAAGAAAAAAGACCACTTAAGACTGCAATTTTGCAAAAATGGAATGCAATTGATAATAAAGTGACAAAAAGATTAGTACACAGATGCTGAAACGTTATTGGAAATTTCACGTGCCAAAGGCGATAGTAAATTATTAAAAGATCAAAACAGCTGAGTATTTATTATGTATGTTTTGGGCAATAAACTTTCATTTTTGTGATGCTCAGCTATTTCCTCACTTATTTATGTATTTGCCATAATATTTCTGTCCTATATTATATTAAGTAGGTAATGTCACCTTGAGTGGACCGCCTGAAACATTTTTATGATGTAACAGTATGATATAACACCCGAAAATCATTAGTCAATGAATGTCGAAATGAATAACCAATTGAAATTAGAGAATAGTCAGATATAAACTAACGATTTAATAATCAAATAGCAAATATGATATTACAAGGTTAGCAATATCTGACGGGCATTTATAAATACCGATATATATCTCCCCGCTACCTACATAAATACACTTTAAGTGAAACCAAAAAGCTAAACTTTGACCAGTCTTGAATAACGTTTTGTATTAAATGGATCTAAACGAGAAAGTTGCTATTGTAACGGGAGCAAGTGCCGGGATTGGCGCAGCAACAGTTAAAGCTTTGTTAAATCTAGGAATGAAGGTTCGTTAAATAAAATCAATAAAAAAATTTTACAGTTTTTAAATTTTAAATAAAATGTTTGTAGGTGGTTGGTTTTGCTAGAAGAAAAGAATTAATTGAAAGCTTGGTCGAAAACCATAATGGAAAATTATTTGCTCGATGCATCGACATGACAAAACCCCAAGAAGTTCTGGATGGTTTCGATTGGGTTACCAAAAACGTGGGGCCAATTCACGTTTTGATTAACAACGCAGGTATTGCTAGGTATGCGTCGATTTTATCGGGAAATTTTGAAGTTTGGAAACGAATTATGGACACCAACTTTATGAGCGTAGCTATTGGATGCAAAGAGGCCGTAAAAATTATGAGAGAACACAAAATCGACGGTTATATTATCAATATTAACAGTGTTCATGGTTATTACGATTGTCTCGATTCTAATTTGATTATGTATACATCTTCTAAATCCGCTTTAAGAATTATGACGGAAAATGTCCGTTTGGAATTAGCTAAAATAGGAAGTAATATTCGAATCACAGTAAGTTTAATTTTTTTATTCATCAAAATAATTCTAATTCCTTTTTATTCCTAGAGTTTGGCTCCTGGTTTAGTTAAAACTGATATTGTGGAAAGTGGGTATGGAAAAGACAAGAGTGACGCTATGTATGATCACCTTCCGTTTATTTTTGCCGAAGACATTGCTAAGACAATCGTTTATTTACTTTCTACCCCTCCACGAATGAATGTAAGTAAACTATCCTCAAATTTATTTCAAATAACCAAAGTAAACATAAGTATTGAAGACTTTAATGTAATTTTAGATTTCCGAAATGTTGGTGAGACCCACCGGGGAAATTGGTACAAAAATATCCCCCATGTAAATGTATTTAATTATTTTTAGTTAAAATTAATTGTTTCGAATCAGATATTGTTGTTGTTATTATACATTTATGACTAACAAATAAATTTTAAATCTAAACTGATTGATATATATTTTACTTAAACTCTTCGATATAGTATTCGATACGCTCGGAAAATGAATTCAGAAAGTATTTGTCTGAGTTATTTGGTACAAAAAATAATACTCAAATGTGGCATATGACCAATTACTGCGAAGTGCTTACTTTGTTAGTGTTTCATAAAATCGTCACGACACAGACCCAACGTTACGTCTATGACAAAATTACATTTAAGTCGGATGACAGACGATATCCAACCAGGTTTTGTCTTTCAATCATACCATCTAAGTATAGAACATCATTGTTTCAGCGGTCTTTCATATAACATGTCTATAAATCTTACGAGAGCGTGCCAATGTCGTTTCGACAATTAAGTATGCTGGGTTTTAAAAGGCAGGTAGCTGAGAGGTAGAGAGGACCTGTGCGTTACTTAATGTGTGGTTTATTTAAACAATGGTAACTTCTTTACAACAATCTGTGATGTTCATTGGTTTGCGGTCGTGCATTGATGTACGGTCTGAGCTTGTATATGTATATCTTGTCTGTATGCTATTTTTTTTCATCATCCATATTCACAACTCTATATTAATTTTTTTTTATTTTTATACATTAATTTTAGTTTTCATTTTATTTTCTTTAAAGGTTGGCACAGACTTAGAACAGACTAAAGTCTGGAACCCGTCGTTTGTGACCAATATTAAAATGTCCATTGCTTCCTCCCTTCACTCACTACACCGTCTCAGCATGTGTTCTAGCGTCTCCCAATCCTCTCCACACAGCCTACACCATCGCTCCACATCGTCCGCCCAGTACCTATTCCCCCTCTTCTCATTGCCATAGCAGAATCTGGCCACCAATCTCTTCCCTTCATCATCCCCCTCCATCAACAAATATTTTGGCAGTTCCCCTATCACTATCTCCCCATACCTTTCATTGTATCTCCCTTCTCGTATCTGTGACCTTCTTTCCTGCCTCTGTATATCCCTGTCCCTATCTCTCAATTCTCTCCACATGTCACCTCTATCCGCTCTTCTGGTTTCGATCCCAGTTAGTGAGTATCCCACTCTTCTATAATATTCTTCCCTGTCTTTTTGCCCATAGATCAGCCTCCTCCCCTTAATTTCCCTCCAGCACTCTCCCAGAATCCTGCAGTGTGGTCTTGCTTCTATTATTTCCTCATACTGCTCTTCTCCCCGCCTCCATCCTTACTGCCTCTACCTTAACCTCCTCCCTCACTACATACCCTGGGGTCTCCCTTGCCAACCTCAGTACCCATCTCCAATATCGTGTTTATATATCCTCCAGCAAACCTTCTTCTCTCCAACCCCATACTTCTGCGCCGTACATCATTGTGCTCCTTACCAAGCCATCAAACATAACCTTTCTTTTTCCCATGTCCCTCCCAAAAGTTCTTTCTCCCCATCCCCAAACTTGTCCCATCACCCTGTTCGCTCTTTTTGCCATCGCCCTCACGTGCGCCCCGACCTTATTACTTTCCGGGAAATCATATCCCAGGTACATGTACTCTTTCACTTGCTCTATCTCTCTTCCCTGCCACCTCCATTCCTCCTTCTTTCTTCTTCCCCCTTTGCAGAACTTCATTATCTTTGTTTTCTCGACGTTTACCTCCAACCCCTTCGCTTTAAAATATCTTTCCAGGGACCTCATCATCTCCTTCATCTCCACCGCCTCTCTAGCCACGACCACCAAATCGTCCGCGTACGCCAAGGCGTGCACCTTTGTTCCTCCTATCACCACCCCACCCATTTGCCCCTTCGCAAGTCTCTTTTCCAAGTCCGCCGTATATATTGCGAATAGTGTGGGAATAAGCGGGCACCCCTGTCTCAATCCCTTTGTCGTCCATAATACCTCACTTAACTCTTCCCCCACTATAACCTTGGCCATCGTCTCCCTGTATAACTCCTTCACCCTCCCTATCAGTTGTTCTGTTATACCACTCTTCCTCATTTCCTTCCACAACTTTTCCCTATCCACGTTATCGAATGCAGCCTTCAGGTCAATAAACAATCCATACAGCTTTCCCCCCTTCTTGTTCAACTCCCTATCTACCAGGTGTTTCAGAATGTATATATTGTCAATTGCCCCTTTCTGAATCCTGCCTGCTCATCCGGCAACAATTCTCCCCTCTCCATTTCCTTTTTCAACCTCCCCAGCAATATCTTTGCATAAATTTTGAAAGTTGTGTCCAACAGGGTGATCCCTCTATAATTACTCACCACCCTTTTTTTTATTCCCCTTTTTATACAGTGGGCATATTATCCCCATCCTCCACCTGTCCGGAAACCTCTCCCCCAACCATAGGTCCTTTATTACCTTCCATAGCATTCATTACCGTTCCCGTCGCCTCCAACCAAAATTATTCTAGTTGAAAATAGACAAAAAGTCTAATAAACATACGTCCGAAAATAGTCCATTTTCGAGATATTCAAAGTTTTAGTTTCGTAAGTTGACCAGAGAATATGATGAACCAACATAGAATATAATAATAGCGATTGACACAGTGCAAAGTAAGCAATTCTCAACACCAGTCCCGACACATTGCCACCTAAAATGTGCAACACAAAAATGTTGCTGCTCAGCTTTCCGTAAAGCGAACACCCAAAAAATCTATGAATTGCTCACCCATCAGATCTGGCTGAACGCCAGTTAGTGTAAAGACAGCTTTAGCTGTTTTGTTAGAATTCAGATTTAGGCCGTTGCACGCAAACCACTCCTCAGCCTCAGAGCGCGACGCCCGGTTTACTGCAACACCATCAATGAGGATTTTATGTCTGCTGATTAAAGAAGTGTCGTCAGCGTAGAATATGATTGAGGACTTAGATATTGAATCAGGCAAGTCATTTATGTAAATGAGGAAAAGCATGATCCTTGTGGAACTCCAATAGAAATGTACTCTGATGTAGAATAGCTATCATTACAACAGACTATTTGTCTTTTGCCACCAAGGTACAATTGAATCATCTTAATACTACTGTCACCAAAGTTATATCTACTCAGCTTCTTTATTAATAAATTATAGTTCACACAATCAAAGGCCTTGCTGAGGTCGCAGAACGTAGTTGTCATATACTCGCCTCTCTCATAACAGTCTATTGCCTGTTGTCCAAAATCCATAATTGCGTCTCCCGTGCTACAATTCTGATGAAATCCGTATTGACATGACGCGAACAAGTTATTATTTTCAAAGAAATCGACAATTCTACCCTTTTTTTTTCAAAAATTTTTGATAATACAGGCAGGAGTGAGAATGGTCGATAATTTTCTATTGCGAAAGGCGATCCCTTTCTTAACGACAGGAGTTACCAATGGTAACTTTAAAGCACTTGGAAAAGTACTTTCTCTCATGCATTGGTTGATTAATTTTGCTAAAGGTTATGATGAAGCTGATAGAAGATGTAATCTTCTATCAGCTTTAATATTACAGCATGTAATCCGTATACATGCCTAGTAGTACTTTTTCAAGAACAGATTATATCACGAACCTCAAGTAAACCAACCGGTTCCAAGCAAAATTTCCCAGGTGGTGCAGTGATATTCGATAGAAGCTGATTAAGATTAGTTTTCAAGTTACCCCGCTGAATTTTATTAACAAGATCTAGGGGAACATTTATAATGTAATCATTTACTTCATTTGGATCAAGTTTATTATTATTATATTACATGGATTTGTTTTTATGAATTATAAAGGTTATACAACATATTATTATTGCTGCCAGGCTGAGGGGAGCGTTCACTCTCGTCGCCGCAAGCTATAAAATTTATTGTAATTATTGCCGAAAATTTTGTGGCTTAAGCGGCCTTTGGCGACGCAGTATGTTTATCACTCTCTGGCGTCGTTGCAAAGTCGACAAGCTTGATCCTCAGCTTGTCCAATGTGGAACAAGTGGTATTTTAGGGGCATATAGCCGATCAGGAAGCCTGAAAGCGACCTTAGCTCTCCTTTGGTGATGCATGAAAGCTATTTGGTTTTCTTTTGCGACGTAGTTGTCATATATCTCTTCGCCTATCTGTGACCTGGAAGTTTTTTCCAGCGTAAGGCTACCTTTGAGGCCTCCCATTTATTGATTATTTATTTTAAGTGGCTTTGTTGTACTCCATAGCCGGGTTGGAGTCTAATAAAGGGCGTCTTCGCTGCCTCATTGGCCAGCTTGTCCGCCTTTTCATTGCTCTCAATGGCTTTGTGACCAGGAACCCTTCAATAACTTCATTGCACCTAGCGAGTTCTCTCAGGTTGCTGGTACATTCTCTGATCAGTGCAGATACACATGTGTAGGCTTAAATTGCCTTTAAGGCGGCCCTACTGTCCGTGAAATGTTTATCAATGCACATTTTTGTCACTTTTCTAGGTTCAAAACGGTGCAGAAGTTTATAGCAAGAACTTCAGCTTGAAAAATGTTTGGTCCACTAATACCCATATCAACTCCAAATCCAACTGTCTTTGAAGTATCGGTTGTATACAACATATGCTTCATTTATCTATTTTTGTTGAAGGTCTATTTCTGTCACAAAGATTATATTAAGTAAATTAGAAATATAACTTGAAAATGCTGCAGTGTATATCAAAACTTTTGTGATACAGTGTATTTTTCCTTTTATGTGTTTGGATAAGTACCACTTCTAGTTTCGCGAATTAATTGAAATTTTATATTTATATGGATTTGTTTTTATGGCTTATAAAGATTATACAACATATTGTTGGTTTATCTATATTTGTTATAGGCGATTATATTAAAAAAAGTTAGTTACAGATAAAGTGCCACAAGAAGGTTAAAATACTTACATAGTTCTGCTACTCAACCAAAGATGGCGCAAATTATACAATGTAAATTCGACTACAATTATTGCTGAAATATGTAATGAAAATTTAAAATTATAGTTAAAATACTATACAACTACGATTATTACGGTTATTTTTAATAATGAAAATTATCTTACATTTATTATATGTTTTATATCCTTCATACTTTGTTGGTTAGGTGTACGACAATGTGCGCGCGCATCCAGGTAATGTGGATATCACATCCTATTACAACCGTTAGTAAACACCTGTACCTGTATAAAATAAATACTAACTCAAAATTTAATTTAATGTTTAAACTTAAAAACTTGTTTAAAACTTTTCTTTTTTATTTGTATTAAAGTCTATTGCGTTATTACATTGTTTAAAAGTAACAACATTTTTAAGTTATCTTTTGCCAATCATCAACTTTCACTTGTTCCTTTTTGCTTGTTTTGCGCTTGTCAAGTGATATCTCAAAACGGGGCCTATAAAAATTAATATTCCCCAAATAAAATTGTAAAATATGCGATTTAATACGTGGTGTACTTATGAAGAGATAAAGAAAATGATAAAAACATGACTTGATGAGAACGAAAATCAACTGGAATCTTGGCTTGGTCCGTTTGAAGAGTGCCCTCTAGAAGCATCATTTTGATTTAAGAACCGAACATGGCGTCCAACGAAAATAACATACAGTCCACGGTCGGCATTTTTTTCGTAACGCAATGATTGTAAATATAGGCGCAATATTTGAACGGTGAACGTGAAAAGTGTCCTCGTCAAAAACGAGTTTTATTGGTGTATAAGAAAAAAATTCAAAATAAATAATAATAATGGAATTGTGTAGAATTTGTGATCGACCTTCGTCCGAAGTGCGGAACATCTTCAGCAAAAACGTTGACGGTAAACAAATCTTGCAGTTGATCAGAGAAACTTTACCAACCGTTGTAAGTTGCTTTATAAAAAACATCTAAACGTTAAATTTACTATTGAAACAAATATTTCTATTATAATTATTTTGTAGATTTATAGAAATGATCCATTGTCAAAACATATATGCCTTAGCTGTTTGGAAAATGTCGATAAGATACATAATTTTCGAAAGAGTTGCCTGAAAGTTGTTGATAACCACAAGGAAACTTTAAAAGGAAATCAAAACAAAGATGTTCTCTTGTATCTTCAGTTATTAGATAGTATTGACCAGGTTTGTATCATATTGCATTAAATTAAGTGTTGCTAAAAGGAATTAAATATGCTAATTAATACCAATCTGATTAGATTTGGTTTTTAAAGTAGGACAAACGTAATAAGACTGCTTAATTCATAATATAGTTTATTGTATTGTTTACCTGTCTCAATTTGATTCTTTATGATCTTTAAAATGATAAAATAAAACATTTCTCTAGGAAAATGAGTAAATAACTCATTGTGATAACAGATTTTTGACATAAATCTTTGAGATAAGTAAATATAAACTTTGTATAATTTCAATAATTTTATTCATGCTATAATTCTTGGGTTATCATAGAAGTCTCAGATGGTACTCATCCTTTAAAGAGAATGATATTACATCATTGAATATTATATGGAAAAATGATGAAATTATTTTTCACAATAGATGAATCCTTTAATTGTTTTGTTCCAAAAGAAGTAACATACCCCAAAGTTGCTTGGATATAGGTTACAAATGTTAGATGAATTAAAGTGGTTGAAAAGTATTAATATAAAAGTCCAGGTAATGAAAGAAGATACCATAATAAATTTTTAGTTTAAGAATGTTTTATGTAATAAAGGGCGGGAAAAGTATTGTATATGTACAATTAATGAAAAATATTTTATTTAATTGATGAAATTATTACAATTTCTGACTCTTGTTTCAAATGAATCAACAACAATGAGATTCTAACTTATTAAACTTTTGCACTAAAGTTCCATGGGATTAATGAATGGGTAAGTTCAAGTAGATTATTTTTCCTCATTGTTTTGAATGTTGAGATCCCCTAAGAATCTAAATGTTGGAGTTAAAAAATGTAATGGCTTGACTACACTTGATAAACTCGTTACTACTTACCGTTCGTCTATGTACTTGATTAGTGACTCATGGAAGGAGGAGTAGGCTTAATAAATTAAGTTCTAATGACGTCAAGTATCCTAGTAATATGAAATGTTCTTAAAATGCCCATTGATGTCTATGATGAATATACAGAGTGACCCAAAACTCACCATCAAGCATGTACCAGGTGAGAACCCAACCCAAGTTTACCTATTCTGGTAAAAATAATAAAAATATTCCACGTTCAGGAATGGAATTCCTTGATGCCCAGCTCATTATACTCGTTCTTGATAAATTTTTTCAACCTTAACTTACTCAAACTAATGTTTTTTTCGCAAAACTAACGATTTTCTGTCTATTACCACTTAACTAAGAAACATGGAATTTTTTCTTATTTTTACCAGAACAGGTATGGGTTGGCCTCTCACCCAGTACATGCTTGATGATGAGTTTCGGGACACTCATTTATGTTTCGTCCTATATCAATTCAGTTGTCAATTAAAGAAAATTTGCTGTTTTGTAAATTATCTGGTTAAGCATAATTCATTGCTTTTCCATACTGAAGTTAGATTATTGTTGTGGAAATGTTCTAACAACGGGTTTTAAATCTCATTTTAAGAGTTCTAACAAAATAAGGAATATTTATTACTATTGGTATCCTTGATTGATATACTTTCATATTTAATTAACTTGAATATGAGTTTAAAAGGTTGTAAAATTAACTAGTAGAATTACTAATAATAGGCAAAATCAGTAGGAAACAAGTTGAATAATGTTAATAATATTTGGATTGTTGCCAAATTACCTGTTGAGACTCACACTTAACGAGTTGAAATATCGTTTGGCGAAATTGTACAAATAGAACTTGTCCCAAATGATGATGTAAATGTGGAACTCTACTAATGGTTGCAGGTGCCACTTCTTACTTGTGCGAAAAAGTTCTCTAGGAGTATTGCGGTTCCTGTATTTAAGTAGATATGGTTGATCAAATACACAAATTTTATTACAATCTAAAAGTAATATACAGGGCCTGTCATATGTAACCACCCCCGCCTAATTTAAAAACGGTTGGAGTCGATTTTTATTTTTTTTAAGCCAAATTTACCATAAAAAATTGTTTACCACTTTCACTTTTTCCGGAAAATGACTCAACTTTGTTTTTTATCTTTCTTTTTTAAACCGTTAATTATGATTTTATCTCCTACATCCCATACTTTACGAACATATTGTACGTTTGAAGAAGCTTTCATATATGTCTCCTCCTGAGTGAATTCTATTGCAGTCAATGATTATTTGTGGTTTCCCTATTTCATCTTCAGAAGTGTTGGCGTTTCATGCATACAAGATTTTTCCTACAAGTTGGTTGCGCTTTCTTGATACCACTCACTATTGATTACCATACTAATTTTAAATTTGATCCATCCACTAGTATTTTTATGGACATTTTAAATATGACTTGGTTGAATGATCAGGGCCATGTGGTAAAACTTTTATGGGTCACGCTGGTTTTATCTATAATGAGCGTGTAGATAAGCTAGCTAAGGCGGCTTTACAGGACAGCAAGCTGGTTAAAAACGAACTTTCTTCTTCTAAGGTCTTGTGTATCTGCAAAGAGAAACTTGTAAAGAAGAACTGGTTCAGACCTTCAAATGAAACATATGAGCACAGGCAGTCTCAGTACATTCGAGTTAATCCTCGTATTCTTTACCATCAATGGTATACTGGCTGTGACGTTTCTAAAAATTTCTTTTCAACTGTTGTCTGGCTGAAGTCCGGCCATGGATGTTACCGTGCCCATCTAAATAAAATTAATATTTTGCAGTCTCTTACTTGCTCGTGCGGGTTTGAGACAGGGGATTTAAATCATATATTTTTCAACTGTAATAATGACGAATTACATCGGCCGGAATTCATCAGTTCTTTGCTATCGCATAGTTTCTCCTTGCCACTTTATATTGTAACCATTTTAAGCAGAAATCGTTTTGATATTTTTAGAATTATTTTTGTTTTCATGAGGAGGAGTTCTAATGTTATTTGATGTGTTTTAGTTAAATTACTTCCTGTGAATTTTGAATAATGATTACTTTCGCTTTGCACTGTGACTTATGGGCTAGGATCCTGCAAAGTCAAAAAAAAATGATTTTTCTCTTTTTAGGAACGACATTTTGTTGAATTCCTTTCACGAGTAATGACCAATTCTCGAGGGAATTCCGTCTTAATCTTTCGAATTGTACCAATCAAAGCGATGTAAAATGTTCCTTTTTCTATTCTGTCTCAAAAAATTACAGGTTGTAGTATTTCTATATAAACAATTTTCCAACTATGGCCTATGGCTGTATTCACCTTGGTTTCTTATTTTACTGGTATTATAAGCATAGGAAATTGACAATATCCAAAATTTATAATAAACTTACCAAGCTTTGTTATGAAATGTTAGTAACTGCTCGTCGACGTTTATAACTAGTCAGACCACTAATCGATACCTGGTTTTTAAATTTTTTGATACAGAATAAATATGATGATATGATAATGTGATGCATCTGTACGCAAATTCTGCATTAATCAATAGTAACCAAAATAATATTAAATATGGCTTTATCATTGTTTAGGAAAATTATACATATATGCTGCAAATATTGGTTTAGACTAGTGGTGGAACAAATATCCGGCAACTATCCGGTATCCAGCCATTTTTTAAAATCTGGCCGGATACCGGTTAGTTACCAAATATCCGGTTTTGGTCAGATATTAAAAACCTATTAGCACTCCACCATTTACAAGGATTAGTATCCGTTTTAGGTGTTGGGCACTGCAGATAATAATCAAGTTCAACCCCAATAGGACTTTTTTCATTTAATATAACTTTATTTACTTCAGCTTTGTCATTAACAACCTCATGGTAACAATCCCAAAACGATATATGAATTAAATCTTGTTGCAGTTTGTTCTAGTTTTCTTCTCTTCGCTTCATCATCACATTCATTATTACTAACTAACTGTCGCCGTTATCACTTTCAGTTGGTGATGCAAGTCCTTCCAATAAAAGTCATCTTCTTGCTTCGTTTGTTAAATCCGCATCCAAATAAGTTGACATATCTTATCAACTTTCTTATTAATTTCTGATTGTTCAAATATCGCAACAATGTGGCAATGTAGGGTATCACTTCAGATGCCGTCAGATATGCCGGATAACTGGAGATGCGGGATATCCGGTATCTGGCTTTTCGCAAAATCACTATCCGTTCCATCACTAGTTTAGACCTAAATTAATAAAGAGAATTTTTAGAAAAATCAAATTTAATCAGAATTTACTGCAAAAGGAATTTTGATACAAGAGTACTTTCAAATTAGGCAGAAGATCTTCAGTGGTATTATGAAGGTTAAGGACAACAGGCTACTCGGGCTATCTGGAATATTCTAGAACTAGCTATAAACCCGTTAATCAGCGCATATTTTCAACGTATATTTGAAATTTGGTACCTAAAATGTTTCAGTTCTTAAATAACAACAAAAAAAGTAATCATCTGAGAGCAAAAATAAGTAGTTTTAAGATGCTCGCTTTGTCTAGTGTCTCGATTTGTGCTATAGTAAAGTCGTAAAATGCAAAAATATTAAATTAGGTCGACAGTTCAAGTGGAATTGGTCCAAGTATCACTCATTGTCAGTGGGGTTACAAACAGATATATCGTAATACATCGATAAGAGTGTATTTTAGCATATCTTCATAAAAACTAAACAAAGAACACCCAAATAAGTTAAAGCGACAATTTCAAAAGTTATATTTTAACATGGTTGAAAAATCTGTTTTTTTTTATTAGTTTGAAGTTACAAGATTTACACAAGTAAAAAAGGCGTGTTAACTAAATTAGTCTAAATGTATCTTTTTAGTGTACATACGCAGTTGCAATGTACTAAAACATCAGACCATCATAAAAGAGTAAAGAATAGACGGGAAATTAAATTTTTACAAAGGTACCTGAGTTCAAAAACCCTGTTACTTAAAAATCCATTATATCTCAAGATTTCAACAATCAGTTAAAGTATTTCAGTATCATCTGTTCTACTACACCTTGTTTTTTTTTGTGGAAACAAAATTTTTACTTTTCTATAAGAGGAATGTCATAACAACCAGTACCTGGTTGTTTATTTATCTTATCTTTTTGCTGAATAGGCTACTTTCAGCAAAATTAATATCTTGAATCTATTTTTGACAAATAACATGCACAATTTGACACTTTTCGAGAATGTATCAAAATGTTATCTTAAGGAAGAAGCAGCACTTATGGATAAGCAAAATCGCTGTGGATCAAGATTATATCCCTCAATTATTGCACAAATATTTGGTCTCTTATAAAGTTCTTATTTGATAAGTCTCTTCGTTTTTTTTATTTCAAGGCAATCCTCTCAAAGCTTTCCTACTGATTTTGAAAATATTGAAAACATTGTATACATAGTTTAGGTACTTTTTTCGGCGAATATGGCTCAAAGGTTTGCACTATTTATTTCATTTTTTTTTATTTTCATATTTTACTTTAATCGTTCTTAAGATTGGATTTAAAAAACGTTAGCTACTCATAGCAACTCTTATCTTAAGAGTTGTTTTCATTTCTGTACATCTTCTTATTCAGAAATGTTGACAAGGAATTAAGACTGCTTATAGTTGGGAACCCGTGATATAGATTAATATCATCAAATATGTTAAAACTTACAATTAGAGACAACTTATCTTATAAGTAATTTGATATTTTGGTGATCACAGAAACCTGGATAAGGAATGATTTAATTGGTGAGAATTTACCTTTATTGTAGATAATTATTTTGTTTTCGCGGTGATCACATAACCCACACCGGTTATTACAACAACTTTGAGTAAACAAGTTAAATAAAGTTAACGCCCTGTTAAGGGTTGTTCACCGATGACATATTAGAATGACTCGTCGCATACATAGTGAAACTAAAACCAGAATTCCGGAAAGTATTTTAAGTAGCAACCCAAAAATATGAATAAAATTTTAATGCGACACCTAAGAAGTAAAAATAGGGCTAATTAGTATTATTTAGAACCAGAAACAAAGTTTTTGCACAGATTTTCTTAAATAAAATATATTATTCTAAGTTTTTTACTTTAATCATTTATTTTTCAAACATTATTAATTACTATTTTTCAAATCTTCCGGATCTAGTGATTATGATTCATTGAACTAGAGGGTCTATTGCATCTTGAATATTGTGACTTTGTTAATCTTAAACGATTCATATTATTATTGCAAAGTTAAATAACAAGCACCAATAATAGACGGTTCCTCTAACCAATCGGAGTTATACTAGAGACCTCAAAGATTATTTGAGATGTTATTTTAACATCAAATTTTAATGTACCCGTGTGAACACATGTCAATGCGAATGTAGTCTCTGGTGACAAATTGAATTTTCGTGTAGAATTCTCATGTTATTCGAAGCGAAAATTACCTCAATTTTAGAATGCGCCATTTGGTGAATGATGTACAATTTGTGAGTACTTGATTTTTCGAAATAATTTTTATAGAAATTTTTATCTCGTTTTATTTATAGCTTTATTAATTTCACTAATTAAAACAAAACGTTTTCTTTAGTTGTAAAATATAACATGCACTTTAGGTCATTAATTTTTTAAAACGTATTTTATACAAACTTTAAAATTTATTATGGTCTCTTCATTCATGACAGGAAGATATATGTATACATGACTACTTTATACTTTTTCACCTTGAACTTTATAACTAACATTGGAGACTTATGACTGAGTCCATTTTAGATATTTCTTGTTAGTTTTTATTTTTTCGTGTGCAAAGAAGATGATAACAATAGCTGAAACAGTTGCTATGTAAAAAGATAAATAATTTCATTGTTTTTCAAGTTAAAGTCATGTGTCAAAGTGTTATTGTTAATCTCACATATATGACGGAGATTTACAACCAAGAGCTGAATACATAATAACGCTCTATCTTACAGCTCGTGTGGGAAAACTTAGGTTAAGGATGGAATCACTTATAGTAAAATTTGATTACGAGGAATCCTCAAAGGAGTACTCTTTGAGGCGCACGCATCAACGTGGATCAAAGCAAATACGTTGGTAGCAAAATCTTTATGGATTAGTCCATCAAGATTTCATTTCATAAATTACTCTTTGAAGACTTTACTTATAACTTATTGTACACATTTTGCGATACAGTCTTATTTTTTAATTGCAAATATTAGGCGATATTTAGAAATACAATAATTAGTTAATAAATTTTTAATAATATGAGTGCAACTTTCTTTGTACTATTTCAATACCATTTGAGGTGTGTTAATTGAAATGAAACTGTATACAAGCAGTTTCATTTAGTGTGAAAATAAAATAGAAATTTCCATTAACACACTTTTTTGCATAAAATCAAAGTTACATGCTTCATTGATTATTATTGCTGCAAAATAATTGTACCAAGGTTAAAACAAAATTTGCTTCATTTATATTCCATCATTAATTAAAATACATTTTTGGTTAAAACTGTCTTTGTTATTTGCTGTAACATGTCTGTGTACAAACAAGAGTTTTAAAGTTAATTAATGAAATAACTCAAGCAATTTAACTTCCAATTATTTAAAAATTGAGGTGAAGTTTGGCCGATCGATCGTTATCTGCTTTATTGCAGTTAAATAAAAAATAACTTTGAGTTTATTTATATCAAAAAATATCTCTTTCTGTAGTATATTCTCTTTAATAAATAAATCATTACAATTGCTATATCAAATTAAAAAAAACATTAAAATTTTTTTATAGAAAGAGTTATGGATGTATTCATCACCAATCAAGAAAACTTTCAATAAAGAGACCCCAATGTGCTTTAATTGTAAAACTGAGATATTCTCGCCCAAAACCGAAAAACCATTTAAAAAGTATAAGGAACTACCTCGAAAATCCGATGATGGAGATTCACTTACTAATGGATATGATGATTACGAATTATCGCCCAATATTCACAATAAACGAAAACGTTTACCAATCGTCGATTTGGAATCGATTACTGCCGGTTCATTACCGAAACGAAAGAAAATAATAGGTCCAAAATGCGTCAGTAGACCATTCATAAAAAGTAGTTATACGGAAACCAAAACGTATAATCCTTTAAACCTTTTAAACCTCGCGTTAAATGTTGTTAACAAATCAATTGTACCGGATATAATTACGGAACCACTTGACTATTACGAAGAAAATATTTGTATTGAAGAAGAATTAACTTACGCTTGTGAATATTGTATGGAAGTTTTTGATGATCAAAATGAACTTGCTAAACATGAATTAAAACATATGAAAATTAATCTAACTCGTGTTGATAACATTGAAATTTGGAATACTTCTTTTGAAGAGTCGTCAATCCGCAACAAATGGCTACGTAACTTGTACGGTGATGAATATTTATTCGATGAAAACGAAGAAGACGAAAATTTGTTAGTTCCTTTGAGTGAATCAGGAGATGAAATGTCTGGCGATATTGAATTGGTTGATACAAAACCAGTTGTAAACGGCGTTTCTTTAGCTGATATTCCAAAAAGCGAACGAAGATTGTACTATAATAGAAACTATGTCGTTAACGGAATAAAAAGAAAATTTTGTCCGTTATGTCGATATACGTTTAAAGACAACTGGGCGATAGAACTACATTATTTTTCGAGCGCGTGTTATTACGCTTGCCGATATTGCGGCATTCGTTTTAACAAACAAAGAGCGATTTTTGATGAACACGTTAATCTTCACATACAACGCGGAGATCCAATTAGCGACAAAGTGTACGCGTCGAAGAAGAAAAATGATCCAATACCGAAAGTTCTTTGCCAAGGAAATTCGAGAACATCCGTTTGCATCAGTCCACTTCTACCTGAAAGTGGCACCCCCAAACTTAGAGTTATCAAACCGAAACCTATTGAACTCGAAAATTCAGTTGTCGAAAGTGAACAAAATCCACCTACACCTACCACTAGTGGACCTACAACTAGCGGAGGACAAAGTCAAGCTTATTTCTGTCGAAAATGTTATAAAGTGTTTTTTATGTTGAATGAATTTAATCAACATACTGAAATTTGTCAAGGTGAGATGAATTTCTTATTATTATATAGGGTGTTTCTAAATGAATATCGGGGTTTTAACACTATGTAGGTATTTATTACATAAAACTTAACATCATAATTAATACATAAAATGAAAGAGTAACTCAAACAGTTATACCTACAAGTGTTTAATGTGAACACCATTCGTCACACAGCACACTTCATGTCGTTAGCACAGTTCTTCCCACGTGTTTGTTGTGTAATTGTGGATTCATCACTGAAAACAACATGATCCAGAAAATCGTCGTGCAACAACATTTCATATGCAAAGTTGGCACATAAACATAAACATAGTCTGTAGACTTTCGACCCTGTAATAACTAAAAACGATACGGACGTAGTTGCAACCGTTTCCGCAAAACTTTCCAAAGAGTCGTCACCGGAATTGTTAATTCACGACTCTCACTCGCTCAACACTTTCTTCACTAACCCTTGGTCGTCCCGTACTCTTCCCTTTACAAAGGCAGCCCAATCTACGAATTTTATTATCATTTGTAGGATCACATCTGAACTTAATGCGGAACGCACGTTGTACAGTAACTACAGATACGGACTTTGCATGTGATATGTTTATTCACTATTTCTGTTACAATCATTCACACAAGCACAACGCCTTAACATAACCTTAACAACTATATTTGGCGCCTAATCTTAACGGTCGTTCATAACTGTGTTACCGGCAATCTACGGTAACGCCATCTATTTAATGCTAACACTGCTCCTCAAGTTACTTACTTAACACTAATTAACTTGACAAAAAAGATTAACTTAAGAAGGTTCCTAAACCTTTCGAATATACATTTAGATAATGCTTTAGTAAATGTGTTCATCAAATTCTTATTCATAATATCCTTTACAAAATGGAACCTGAAGTCTATATGGTTGACCTTTTGCTGTTTTCAATGCTTTGCATCATGTCGATTGCGCTTCGATTGCCTACGAATAACAACGGGATGTTGTATTTGTTTGTTAAGTCTTTTAATACACTTTGCAGATACATCAAGTCGCAAGTTGTAGTAGTACATGCAATGTATTCCGCTTCTGCTGTCGATAGAGCAACTACACTTTGTTTTCTAGTGGACCATACTATAGGATCTTTTCATGATATATTATTGTGCCCGTAATACTTTTTCTGTCCGTCCTATTGTTGCCTCAATCTGCGTTCGAATATGCCCTTAACTATATTTTTATAACTACTTTTTTTTGCTTTTTTCGTAAATTTGCTGTAAATCCTTTGAATATTGCAGGTAATGTAAAATCTTTTTAGCCACCTGCCATATCTCTGTTGTTTGCTTGTTTAGAAATTGACTGAGATATGCTGTTGCATATGTAATATCTGGTCTGCTCACCGTCGAAAGATATAGCAATGAACCAATCAATTGTTTAAACGATATTTCTTCATTTATTATGTTTGTTACTTGTAAATTTGGCTCCATTGGTATTCTATTTTCTATTTCCTTTACAGTCTTTCATATTGAATTTATTCAAAATTTTGTCAATAAATTCTTTTTGGTCAATCGTAATGTTACCATCGTATCTATTTACGTTCATTCCCAGAAAATTTCTTAATTCACCGAAATCTTTGGCCTTAAATTCATGTTTCAGTAATGATACTAAATTTTCTACTCTCGATAATTTTCCTGATAATTATGTCGTCAACCCATATGAGTAGTTCTAATTCTTCGCCCAGATACAGACAGAAATTACTACCCGACCTTTTCAATCCAGTTTTCTCATTGAATAAGTGAAATTTTTCATTCCATTTATGCGGTGCAGCTTTTAATCCATATAAGCTTTTAATTAATTTGAGGCTATTTCCTTTCTTGTTTTCAACTTCTTCAGGAATTTTGATGTAGATTATCCAAGTACCCATTTAGAAAAGCTGTAGGATTATCAAGTTGCCTGATTGTCCAATTTTCATTTAGAGCGTGTGACAATAACGGTACAAATTTTCGTAGCACTCCTCCTGAAATCCTTTTGCCACTACCCTCGCTTTTCTTGTTCCATCTTGTTTGGTCCTCAATACCCATCGAGTATCTATTGCCTTTTCTCCATTGGGTAGATCAGCTGGTATCCAAGTGCCATGTAGCTGTAGTGCTTCTATTTTTTTATTGATTGCTCGTTTCCATGCTTCTCCTGAATTGACAGCTTCATTGTACGTCAGTGTATTACCTGGATAGTAACAATATGCAGTATATAGTTCATAGTCATTAAATATGGAAGGAATTTTGTATATATGTTACCTAATCCTGTACTTGACTTTTCATCTCGAAATTCTGCTTCTGTTTCATTTTCTTCATGTTCTGTTACTCTTTCATCATCTTCACTTGTTCTTCGGTCATCTTCTTCTTGGCTTCTTTCTTCAATCAATTAATTTTGCCCAGTCACAATATTTTCTTGCTCTTCATCTTCTTCTCCTACTAAATAATGATCCACTTTGTTTTCTTCACATCCGCTTTTATGAATAATGTCAACTTCATCAAATTGAACATCTCTTGAAATTATTATTTTGTTTGTTTTTTCTTCCCAAAGTCTATAACCTGTTTTTCCATATCCAACTAGCTTGCATTTAACTGCTCTTGTTTCCAGTTTATCATGCGGTACGGGTAATTTATAGGCACATGCTCTTGATCCAAAAATTCTTAACTTATTTAAATCAACTTTTCCAGGATAAATCTATGCCGGTAATTTTCCTAGTATTGTTTTTGTTGGACATCTGTTAAGCTGGTATGCAGTTCTTGAACACTTATTTCCTTCTGCTGAGAGTTGTCTAACATATTTCATTATATTGTCTGCAGCCTTTGCTTTTGATTTTAACAAGTACACAGTGACAAAATGTGTATGATCATCTATGATTATTTGATCATACTTTTCACCATTTAGTGTTGGAGTTTTTACTGGCCCTCCAATATCTGTATGTAATAATTCTCCCTTTCTCTTTGACCTTGGCATATCAACGGTTCTGAATGGTAATCGTTTAGCCTTACCTTTTTTACAAGCTTCACAGGCTTCGCCACTAACTTCTAAACCCATCGATTTTCGATAAGAGTTATTTAAATGTTCTAAGCGTTTATACCACAAATCTTTTGTTTTAGCTGAGTGAGAAATTTTTGTATTGTCATATATTTAAAAGTTTGCTGTATATATGTTTTGTTCTGCTTTAGATCTTACTTCAAACTTTTTATTATGTTATCACCGAGATTATCATTGTTGAAAGTTACTGTCTTACCTTGATTAGTAATTTCCTTTACCGATAACAAATTCTCTGCTAGATTTTTAACAATGAAAGTTTAAAACTTAATAATTGTTTCACCTGACTGTACTCTTAATTTTCCTACATTCCTTGCAGTTAATTTATCAACATTGACAATGTTTATATTGATATCATTTGATAAATGCTCCACATCTGTCGTCCATTTCTCTAAATCTTCTTTTACCAAATGATCTGATGCACCACTATCCATAATGAATCTTATGTCATTCCTTGTGGATGAACAAAATGTTCTTTCAATATTCGTTGAAGCAATAAATGAGATTTCTTTCGTTAGTATAATTAGCTCCTTGCTCATTTCTTGCACCTCGTCCTCTGCCTCTACTCTTTCCCCTTCCTCTACCACGACATGGTTTCCACTTTTCATCTTTTTCAGGACAGTCTCGTTTAAAATGACCTGATTTACCACACTCATAGCAGTTTTTATTATGTGTCGTGAAAGAAGAGTTGTCATCTTCATTAGTACTTTCCTTGAACTTTATTTCAGCATTAAGTAATCCGTTTTTGACAAACTCATAGGAAAGACCTTCTGACATTGTCTCTAATGCTGTTATAAGTAACTTTAACAGCTTCTTCATGATAAATAATTTTGTTAGAGGATTTTTCCTTTCAAATATAGCCTTTAAACTTATTCACATGTTATATGCATACTTTGTACTTTATACACATTGTACTAATATGCATTTTGCCTTTGTATCTTTCTTAACGTATTCTGTTTGTTGGTCCGTAGACATTGATTGTAATTTTATATCATCCATCTTCCTTTAACACCTTCTCTTTCCAATAATATTTCCACCCTAAACTTCCAATGGAAATAATTTCCTGTGCCGCCATGTTATCACCACTTTTTATATCGACTTTTTGATTTTATTATTTGAGGTAATAAATCTTTAATTGCGTTACTCTGGGCCCATAACCTGTCGTTTATTATAATAAAATCTTAGTCAATATATCCTGATATGTTTATTCACTATTTCTGTTACAATCATTCACATAAGCACAACGCCTTAACTTAACCTTAACAACAATACTTGGCGCCTAATCCTAACGGTCGTTCATAACTGTGTTACTGGCAATCTACGGTAACGCCATCTGTTTAATGCTAACATTGCAAACTGCAGAACACAAAAAGCTTTCTCAAGTCGCCACTCTTTGCTACTACTGCTTTTAGCGCATGGGCAGATGAGTTCAAGCGCATGCGCGTACCCACAAACAGAACTGTTTGAGTTGCTCTTTCATTTCATATATTAATTATAAATTTCATGTAATAAATACCACATAGCGTTAAAACCCCGGTATTCATTTAGAAACAACCTGTATAATTAATAAAAGAGCTAGTTAAGCTGTTTATTTTGAAAGTGAACTAACTAGCTTTTGCAACAGTTTACAAGCAGGCCGACGATCTTTCTATCATTAAATCGGGGAACTGTGGAGCTATTTCGAATTATTTACTAGGATTTGGCAAGATTTTTGAAAAATTATTGCATACTCGATTTTTTTTTGTTATTAAATCTAAAAAAGCGATCCCAGGCAACATGGCGTTTTTGTCGGCCAAGTTAGATTTGACCACAATTAAAATCAAAAATTTAATTACAGTTTCAAAATAAATGGCTCTAATATATATTTTTAACATCTCCAATAACGATTTATTAACTCTTACTAGGTATCATTGAGGATGAAAAACCAAATATATCTCAAGATAGAAAACTAAATATATCTCAAGAGAAGAAACCAACCCCAGTGAAAGTCGAACCAAAACCACCACCAAAATACCATCGAGGTGTATTAACAATGCCCGCATCTTTAAAACTAAACGAGGCAACAATAAAGATTTCATCAACAGGTCGGCCGGTAAGAAATTGCGTTCGCGATGTAAAATACAAAGATCATCTTGATATCGATATTGAATCGGAAGAAAATACAAATACACGTCCAAAACCGGCGGCGCAAACATTCGATTTTGAATGCGTGGTTTGCCACGCGATTTTCCCAACAATGTTATCCAGAAACAGTCACATGCGCGTGCATAAAAACGGTTATAAACCGCCAGCTCATAAACAGGAATCGCATTATAATAACACCTACGAATCTTACGACGAAGTTGTATCGTTTAAACAAGAACCATTGGAACCGTTGGTGGAAATACATGAAACCAATACGGAACCAGAACAAGAACTTTCGAGTAATATCGGGGCTGTTAGTATAACGCCGATTCCGAATAAACGTCATAGAACCCAGATTAATCCAGATATAATGCGATTGGTACAAAGTAATCCCAATATAACGATAAGGACGATGACCCAATCGCCTTTAGAACCGCAAACTTTGCTTACTGAAGGCGGTAGTGGATCAGATGATGGAGTAAGAACTTATAAATGTTCAAGTTGTAATCAGTCGTTTACAAGTAAGTCTACTTTATATTTTCATAAGAAACACCAATGTGAAGGGTCAAGATTTCCATGTCCGTTTTGTAAGAAACGATTCGGTACTGAATCTGCTTACAGCGCGCATATTTTTTATAGTCACCCTGAATGAGAAAAATTATAAAAATATAAAAAAGATAAAATGCGCCGTTTAACTTTGTAAATAACTTTTGCAGAGACTTTATGAATTATTTTTTTATGTTACTTCTAACATACAAAATCAGTTATTATCCATAATATCTATCAATTTTAGGAATAATGCAATATTATAATTATATTCTGCATGAAACCTAAAGATCTCAGTAGTTATCTATACAAAATCATTACTATTTTATGTTATTTTTACGCAAACGATGAAGTTCTTCATTTTTATTTGATTTACTTTTCCGAATTTTATGTTGAAGTAAAGTGACCACTATAAGAATTTAGTGGCAAATAAAATATTTTGTTATAATTCTCTGTTATAAACCCTATCTTAGCCAATTATCATAATTAATCTATAAAATTGATTAAAATGGAGCAGTTTAAAACGTTTCTATTATGTTGTAGTGTAGATAGTGTGTAGGGTTGGATTAAAAACCTCGTTTGGCTGCTATATTTTACCCAATTTGAATTTAAAATTTATAGAATCAAAACGTTGGGTAGGCTGAATTAAAATGGGTTAAAAATGTTTGAAAATCATATAAATTAATTACACATTTCAATTGAAGTGTGGTTAAAACAGATATTTTTTGTTTTGACTTAAATTTTAAATAGTAAGAACAAAAGGCTTATTAGTTGTTAAATCTTTGGATGTAATACTTTGTAAGTGTTGTCGTTTTTATAGATAATTCCTATATCTTTAATTATGCATTATTCCTAAAATATCTGTTATTATGGTTACTGATTTTTGATTCAAACATGAATATATACAGAGTGTATTATGAATCATGCTATAATTCTTTTCACAATTTGGTTTTTTTGTTTAATCCAACCTAAAAATATACAGGGTGAAATTGACCAATTTGACGTTTCGTTAAGCAAATGCAACAAAATCTCTTATAATTTTAGGGAAATTGGGATTTAATCAGCTTCTAAGTTTACCATCATTTTAATTTTGTAATTTTCAAGACTACAAGTAAAGATAATTACGAAAACTGTTTCTTAGGATGGAACATTTTTATTAACAATTTCATGACCGGTTCATTACATTTATTTCTGTCTCATTCCAAATTTGCAAATAACGAAAGAGTCAATGATAGTTTATATTATTTATAAACTATATTTATTAGTGTTATTAGTAATATACTGGCGTACAACAATCGCCTTGCCAGTAGTAGCATTATGGTGTTTACCCTTGGTGTTAACCAATCTTTTCTAAAATTGGGATGTCGTTAAAAAGCAGGAAATTAATTATTTATTTAGTTCAGATTGGCAACAACATTTAGTCTCTACTTTCTAGGAAATTCGCTGCACGTCACTGTGATATTATATCTCTGGGCGCACTTAGTTGTATATTTTCATGTATCTCAAAGGTGTATTTTCTTTCTATCCGTTAAACAAAATTCCCGCACTTCAAAATTAGGAATGCAAACTAACATCGAGACAGATTACTTTGAACACTCAACTTACGAGTGCAGGTTAAAATAGATGAGGTGACCTTGACTAAGTTTGTAGTTGAGCTTGATCTCAAGGTTTAAGTTACCTGGTATGATAGCCTTAAATATTTTTAACGTGACGCTGGCGGTCCTTCTCTAAGGACAGATCTCAAGGGTAAGGATCATCTGGTTAAATTAAGTGTTAATCTTCACTTCTATTTGCTGATTGACAAATATCTACCTCAACCACGAAGGTTATGGTCACTCGATGTGACCTTGACATCGGGAGGTTCCAGGAAGAAATTCATCAATCAGTCAATACCTACTACTGGTGTGATTTTAAACATTTCATCACAACAAACCTTAATAGTATACATGTGTCGGGTTATTTAGCAGCCCAACCAAATTTAAAATAATCCTAGCTCCAAAACATAATGAACGCAAGGTTGTTGATACACTGACATTTATTACTGACAGCTGGATGTTAACTGCAGCTTAGTAAGCCTGGATTCAGCTGCTACACTGCACGTTTTTTGTCGTATTCCGTTTTAATAGGATAGAAAAACCATCGGAGTTTCATATGATTAATTTTTCTTTTAGGTAAAAAAGGAATTTCAAAAAAATTTTGAAACATTTTCATATTATGTATTCGCTACTTGTTGACTCCCATCATCGACGTCTCTATAAAATAACTGTATTGGGTAGTTGCTTTAAATCAACATAAACAAAGTTATACAAATTGCTGTGAAAAGTCTCACACCTAAGCGATAGTGGGAAATATCACTAACATTATGCTTTATTTCCAAAAATTCAATCAATACCAAATATAAAAACTATCACCACAAAGTGATAGCTTTTGTGTCATAATAAATTGTTGTGAATTCTAATTTTAACTTATCTGTGATAAATTAGAATCATTTAATCACAACAATCATTTTCAAATACCCTGCAGAAAACATCTCCATCTACTACATCAAATTATAAGGTGATAATTTTAAACTGTGCCTACTTCACATTAATAAAGAAAAACAAATTATAAACCTTTATCAAAATTCACAACAAATTCAAAATTCCTATTCCGATTTAGGTACACATTTTGATCTATTGAATGTGATTCATCAAATCGAAAACTTACGTATCTCTAGGTTTTAGTTCCTCATGCTTCATCATATTTACTTCCATAAGCTGTATCCAAACCACAATACAAGAAGGAGTGGTGTAGGTGTAAGGATTAGGTAGATTAAAAAATATCTTTTATTTTTACCACGTTAATTATTCATGCGCTTGTTATTCGAAGATGTTCCTTAATGTAGCGAAGTAGGATTTATTGTCTAACGTGGAAGATGTTATATCATCAAATTGAAAACTGTTGATTTTGGGAACTGAGGCAGCTGCTCGCGAAGACGTTGGATGTAGGAAAAGTCTGAAAAGAACTAATTTCATTTTCATATTTGCGTAACGTAAAGAATAGAAAGTTTACCATGTCAAACCAAGTTTGATACAAGTTTTTTTCTCTTTTTCATTCAATTATTCTTTAGTGACCTCTTGCTATAGATAGCAAGAAAGTACAAAATTTTCTTTATTTAATATAACTAAATTATGGAACTTCACTTCATTAATAAATGTCGTAGGCGACATCTTTCCTAGTTGCATTTTAAAATTGTAAAATATAACTGTAATACATTTTAAAAATTTATTACCGTAATATTTTTAGAATTTCATGGAATTTATCATTTTCTCCCCTGACTATTACTGTTTCATGGTAATATTACTTTTAATACTGACGATTAAACTGCACGTTAAGCACACGCGTTTTGTTGTGCATAGTAAAAAACTTTATTATATTGAACAAATAAATTATATTTAAATTAATTCTTAGTTCTTGTCCATTTTTCAAAAATTAAATTTGTAGTTTGATTTTTTTCTGATATCTATTACATACAAAGACACATAAGATAACAGTTTTTCATAAAATATTAATCAATCGACAGTTGGTAAAATCAACAGTATTAGATGTTGGTTTTACAAATTTTCTGTATTAATTTTATTTAGAAATCTGCTATTTTATAATGCAACAGATCATATTAAGCATATACATTTAATACAGTCGCACAATTCACACTATTTAATATTTTCAAATTTAGCCCAATTTATATTTACTATATTCATTCATTAAAATTGATTTCAGAATCTTTTTTCCATGGTTTGTGGTGATTTCAAGAAATTTCTTTTACCATACCATTTTATACAGGGATACACCTCACATATTTAATATTATATTTATTTTCTTAAATTTTGCGAAAGAGCACATCTTCACGGTTTTTAGTCATTAAGAAGTATTGGTTTTCTGATTGAATAAATATTTAAAGGGCTGGCATAACAAGTACTTCTGGATTAGGAATACCCTTTGTTCAAATAATTTATTTAAATTAATGTTAAATTGGACCAGATTTACCCAGTTCTGGCTTCATTTCCAGCGTTCGTGGTAGAACCAGTGTGTGACAGTTATAAATTAAAAATAATTTTATTCTAAACTAACTTCTAAAAATATTATAATGAAATAAACTTTTCAAATCATTCATAAAGTTTCATTTCATAAATTTAGAAACATTAACATTTTTAATAGAGGTTTTGTGTTATTCCTTTTTTTGAGCTTTCTACCTCTCGACGAATTTCATTCCTTCTTCTCTGTTCTAATATAGCGCTGGGAATTCTTTTGTTAGCTTTTAAAAATGTTAAAGAAATTATAAGATTGTTATTATTTTTCCAATTATAGTGTGATTATTGTTTGTGCTATAAATGTTTTCGTTTAATTCATCACATTTATTCTCAAATAAGAATGTTTCTTCTTCCAACATTGTGTTTTCATTTTCATCACAATTGTTCATGATAATTTTCTCTACATCATATTGTACATACTTGTAATCTCTTGGCAAATGAATAATTACTTAACTTACATTATAAAATTTTACACAAACAATAACAACGAATTTCTTCGTTTGTTCCTTCTAATACATTCACAAGATAATCTTTTACTTTATTTGTTCCCCGAAACACAATAAATATCAATGGAAAATATTCTACACGTAGTAAGGCCACACCTAAGGAAGTACGCTCTTAGTGTTGCAAAAGGTAATAGATTCTTTTGTATAGATTTTGATTACAAGCAACTATCACATGCATCATTTACTTTAAAACCTCCAACACAAGTAGTCCTAGTACACTTTAATTTTGTACATAATTATGCCATTACCAGCTCTCATTTTGTATTTTTCAGTTATTTCCAATTTATATTTCTTCGTATCTGTCATTTACACCAACATCGATTAATTTTCAATAAGTTCTGGTACTCTTTTTAATACTGTATATAAACATATGTATGTACATTTTCAGGTCAACCATAAACAACATTATAGCAAATTAAGCATTACCCTGTAAAATAAACTCAAGTCTTTTTTGTTTGCAACCAAAAGTCTCATCACCTTCGAAACTGCAATCTGCCCCAAAAAAATCTTTTTCTTGGATTTTATAACGAGGTGATTGGGAAAAATTGTTGATAATTGGCGATTTTATCAAGCTCATCTAGATACAATTTGGCAATATACTTATAATTAGGCCTGTTTTGGTTTAAGAGTTCTGTCTAGAAATTGATCGGCCAAGATGACTTAAACGAAACACTCACATATAAGGCATTCGTCCTGGTTGACCAACGTTTATGTCAATAAGTTTTCTCCATTTCTCCTCTTCCATTTTTCTATATGTTTTTCTTGATTAGCATATACTCTCAAAATAGGCTATGTACTTGTTTATGTTTGTTGATTTAAAATGATAAAATCAATGCACGCAGGATAAAAGAACACAAAACTAGTTACAGTATCTGTGAATTTCGTGCATTCTTAAATAATGAAAAAGGAATGGCATCCATTTTAGGTGATGTGTTCTTGATCACCTCTATTAGACTTGTTTTGGTTCTAGAGTTCTGTAGTCCCGAACAGTTCTGAAACTTTCTGCGCATACGTCTAATATGCAATATGTATGCGCAGAAAGATTGTTGAACTGCAGAACTTTTGAAACTACATAACTCTTGAATCAAAACCGGCCTAATCTGTTAATATTTTTGATCTGAGATTTCAAAACACCAGACACTTTATAAATACTAAAAAACACCTCCGCATGGCTGCCAGTTGCTGCAAAATGGTTTTGGATGATTGTTGTGTTAGTGGTTTGGCTTCAATAGACGCTGTCTTACAAGAGAAGCCATATGTAGCCAGAAAGGTGGATGTGTTAATAAGACTTGGTTATTGAGAACAAAATTTCTAATGTTTAGAATATTTGCAACTGATTCTTCTACAGTGGTATCATACATGGTATCAGGGATAGCATCATATCCCAGGAACACAAGTTTTACTTTACGTCTACTTCAACAATAACCTCTCATCATCTGTTGTGTCTAATATAGAATTTTATTGTAATCTGCTCTTAATCTGGACTCCTTAGCAGTATTCATTTTAATCGTTCGTGCCATCCCGAAGGTTTTGTATTACTTTTGTAATTCAAACTTGCTATTTAAAAACTGTGTAATGCAATTCTACCAAAAAGTTAATTTTATGATTGACATCAACCACATTAAATATTTCAAAGAAGAACTGTGTTTAACTCAACAATTCAAAACTTGGGAAGTTTTTTTCGAATACCAAGCCGCATTGGAACAAACACTGCAACGAGGGCGTCGCATATTTAGGACCAAAGAAGATCATTAAAATCGATCGCCGAATGACAGAAAATCATTATCAGTTACTTTAAACTTATCGATCTTTTTAAAACCTACATGAGTGAACTAATTCAAATCAACACAACGCATTCTTTGGAGTTTTCAAACTTGTATGTATACCGCAATAACATCAAGGTTAAATTACATCGCAGATGAATGTATCAAGAGAATGATGAGGATATTTCATCGATGCCTTTTAAGACTATTCGTTATTTATTGTGTATAATAGCATGTCCATAAATAAAAATCAAACATTTCAAGTGCAATGTGTGGACTGCTAGTTGGAACAAATGTAATTTAGGAGCTGATTCATTTCCTGAAAACAGACACAGTGTAAATTAATAGATATTACAGAAATTTATTTATGGTTTATTTACAAAGAACTTTATTTTTGTCTTCAACGAAAAAGAAAGTATTTCTACAAAATCAAAGTGGTGATACTACAAAATGAACAAATCAAAAAACTTTTATACTTAAAATTATAGTTTTGACTCATAATCACTCTGTATCACCCTGTATAATATGTTAAAGGAGGTATTAAACCTTTAGAGTTTCTCTCTTCTTTTTTTAATAAACTTTATAAGTTGCAGATTGTACAATTTTCTAATTTGTTTTGAATCGATTGTAAATTTAAGTTCGTATGAGTATAAGATTTCTTGATGTCTAAAGGAAATTTAAAAAGTATTTAATTTGGCAAGCATCATTTCAGAGAACGAATAAAAATAATAAACTTATTAAACAGTTTTGATCTGTAAATATTTCGATTTTTTTATTTAAATTAAAATTGATTTCAACAAAATCTAGGTGCCATCAAGTAATAGACCAAATACTTTTTACATTTTCAAAAAATTGATGAAAAAAATGTGTATTAGTTATAAAGTATAATTTTGTTTTGTTTCAACAAACAAGAAACTACTTAAAAGTACAATCTAAATCAACCACAATAAGAAAATAAATAATGCGACAAAAAAATTATTTGTAAATCCCACCTTTTTTTTTATGCACGGCACATCTTGTATCAATAGGCCATTTCTCTTGCCGATGATCGTTTGTATTTTTAAAATATGCAAACAAGGAGGCAAAAAAACATTGGCAATGTAACAAAAAAACATAATCCTACTATCAGCAACAAAAAAAACTACCGTTACTATTGTAAATAGATAGTTACATGATTTTATAGCGTTTAAAAATAGAATGAGAATAAATTGTATTCAAAAATAAAGTGTCTTTTATTTCAAATATTTAGGATTTAGTTTGATTTACCTAAATTTCAATGTTTAGAAGTAATCGTCCAAATGCGATCTTAAAGGATTGATACAATAGTGACGCTTTTCTCCTCGACTTGTTGTAGTAGATATCAATAATTGTCTACGTTGTGAAGGCGGAGGACCAAACTTCACATCGCTGTGATTAGCTAGTGTTGGGTAATGTCTCTTTTGTTTTTGCTCGTAATAATCCGATGGCGCTAACAACATTAGCGTAGCTCCAGGATCTAAATATGTACAAAATAAAATCTTATATAAAATGTTTATAATGTCTATATTTACCTGGTACTTCATTAGACATTTTTTGTAAAATGTTATAGCTTAAAAATGATTTTAAAAAATGTTTTACTTGACAGGATTTATTATAAATTTGAACAAAATTTGACATAATAAAAAAGACGTTTACAGTTAAATCAAAATAAAGCATTTGAAATAAGATATATTGATAAAAGCCAAGAATTGGATAGTAAAATCTAAAGTAGTAACTTTCTAAAATTAGTAATATTAAAAAAATTAATTGTTACTTAAAATTATTTCATTTTAGAGTTGTTTCATCCAAAAAAAGTATTTATATTCAAGGATGGTAGGTTCTAAGAGGATTGTTACATCTCTAGAACAGGTATACAGCTCGACGACCCGTTCGTGACGTCACGCATCAGGCAACTAGTATTTCACACTTTGAATTAGCAAATGCTAATTAACTAACATATCTAGAACTAGAAACATCTTAAGAGACGCACTGCTAAACCCGAATGTTTCTAATTTTAGCTCTAGTGTTTCTGATTTAGCACTATCGCTAGACTTAGAACTAGAATCATTCGAGTTTACGTCTCTTAATACGACTAAACCCGAATGGTTCTAGGTCTAGTGTTGGTTCTAGCTAGAGTCCCTTTTCGGTCGTAAGAAAGAGTAATGTGATACTTAGGTGGAATATGGAACCAGCAAATTTCAAAGGAAATTTTTAAGAACACATACAAATGTAAAATGAATCACGGCATAAAAAAGCTGCAACAAGGACGGCAGCCATCGAAATAGGTTAGATTTTGATTTATTTATAATTTGAAAAAATGCTAAGCTGCAGCGGCCATTAAAAAATCTAAGGTATCTTTTATAATTTGAAACTTTTGCTTACGGAATTTTTGTGGCATTCCCGACTTGGTTGCATAGCCTAGCCTCCTAATACGTACCAAGCCTAACAAAATAGTATTCGCAGTTGTTTAGCTTCATTTTAAAGATATTGCTTTTTTCTGGCAAAAAGGAGAAGGCCATTATGTGCAACCAAACTATTTTACACTCATTATGTGCAATTTTTTGATAGCAGATATATTACATAATCGTAAAAATAAAGATTAACTGCTTTGTTAAATAGAAGATGACATTCTACATACAAAAATCAAATAAACAATACTTGTGTTTTTTATTGTTATCGATATGATATTTTATGTTTATCGATATGAGAACATTGCGTAAATCTGAGTATTTTTGCATAACATTCTATTCAAGTTTTTTTTTATGCCTGAAGTTGACTCCCCCAAAAAGGTGGGTGTTAAAATTTCAGCAAATAAAACTTCTGATTGGCAAAAGATATTTTTTCAAAATAATAATAATAAATAAATTTATTGCCATAATAAGAAACAAAAAATACAAATTAAAGAAAATGTATACATTTAACTTAATGCATAAATACGGGTAAAAGGGTCGATTTATCGCGTAAGCGATATCTTCCAAACAACCCAATCAATCAGCAGTATACTAAGTTATATAAGAAAAACTATGACTAAACGGCAAGCTGCTATGCTAAACTTATGGTCACTAAAAACGGTGCATAATGATAGTTGCTGGAATAAAAGGAGAAGAGAAGAGAAGAAAAGGGAGAAAAAAATGTTCTCAGGAAGATACTTGGAGAGCCAATAAATGACGTTTTAGGTGGTTTTTAAATGTTACAAGGTGAGGAATATTACGGATCTCAGTAGGCAGACTATTCCAAAGGATTATTGCCTGCACAGCAAACGATTTATGGTAAATTTCGGTACTATGGGTCGGGAACATAAGCACAGAATCTAACTGAGATCTAGTGGGTTGGGTTGGTATAATATACAATACAGATACCTTGGGGTTTGATTGTGAAGAACAGTATACAGTGTGTCCCCGTAAGGTATAATTGACGATAAATTTTTGAATTCAAATTCCATCTTTTACAATTAAAGTCTGGATGACATAAAACGAAATATAATCAAGTTTTACGTCAAATGTCCTCAAAGTACCAAAGTTAACGCAAGAAGTGTGTTAACCGTTGCAGGTGAAGTGGTCTTTCTGAGCAATGTACAATAAAAGTTGATTAAGATAAAATGTTTGTTATGTTAAATTATAGCGATATGCCGATTTTTATTAATTTAGGATATAAAAGCAAAATGCAAATTTTTAAATCATAAGATTAACAAAACATTTTCGATCTAAACTAAATTAACATAAAAGCTTATTCAATGATACCAACACTAATACATAATTCAGCCCTTTTCCGACATTGTTTATAACTTTTTCTAATATGGTCCAACGGAATTTCTCTAATAACAGTTTCAATTTTTTGTTTTAAACGATTTAAATTGTTATTAAAATTTTCAGTGTACACTTTTTGTTTTACATAACCCCAAAAATAAAAACCCATAATAGATAATCCGGACTTCTTGGCGGCTATGGTTGCGGACCATATCTACCAATCCATTTTTTTCCAAATAACGTATTTAAATAATTTCTAATTAATATGGTCGAATGTGGGTCGCAACTATCTTGTTGAAAATATAATTTATTGTGTTTTTCTAAAAGCACGCCATGAAGATAATTAAATAAACAATTTTTTAGTGTTTCCGAGTTCAGTAAACTTCAGTAGTTGTGTGCTGTTTCCCACAAAACAGCACACAACTCACTCACTTTCTGGGAATACTGGTCTTTGACCAGAATCGACAATGTTGTGATGTAACCACTCCATTAGTGATGAACGATGCTTCCTCCGAAAATATTGTGTTTTTTAAAAAAGTTCTGCCTTATTATGTATTAGCGTTGGTGGTGGTTTCATTGAATAAGCTTTTATGTTAATTTAGTTTAGATCGAAAATGTTTTGTTAATCTTATGATTTAAAAATCTGCATTATGCTTTTATATCCTCAATTAATAAAATTCGGCATATCGCTATAATTTAACATAATAAACATTTTATCTTAATCAACTTTTGTTGTACATTGTTCAGAAAGACCACTTTACCTGCAACGGTTAACAAACTTCATGCGTTAACTTTGGTACTTTGAGGACATTTGACGTAAAACTTGGTTATATTTCGCTTTATGACATCCAGACTTTAATTGCAAAAGATGGAATTTGAATTCAAAAATTTATTGTCAATTATACCTTACGGGGACACAATCCGGGGACACACTGTATAACATAGTTAATATACGAAACGATCTACGGTTCTGACAGCTTAATATCTGCAAATAATTACGGTATGGGGTTATGTGTTGAGATCTTTCGAGATCAAAGATATACCGTATGCAGTTATTTTGAAGTTTTTGCAGTTTGTTTCGTAGTGTTACCGAAAGATCAGGATATGCCGTGTCAGCATAATCAATATGGGGGAAAATCAGGGAAAAACAAAGATTACGACGGATTATGGGAGGAAGGAAGCAACGGAGACTTTTCAGTGAGTGGAAACAATGATAGACCTTTCTGCAGACGGATTGAATTTGAGGTTTCCAGGACATTGTAGAATCCATAACCACCCCAAGGTTTCTAACCGCGTCTGACAGCTGAATAATGTCTCCGTCAAGCATTAAGTGAATGGATGAAAAATTATTCAGCTTTGCCAGTAAAGGTCGACTGCCAAACGCAATTGCTTGAGTTTTAGCAGTATTTAATTTAAGGCCATAACGTTTGGACCAATCCAAAATATTGGAAAGGTCATGATTAAGACGTGCAATTGCTTCGGGAAAATCATCAATAGTTGTCGTAGTGTAAATTTGGAGGTCATCAGCATACACATGATAATTACAAGAAATACAGTGGGTGACGGCATTAAT